CACTGACTGCTTCCATATTCGAGAGAATGAAATGACGAAGGAGAAATTTGTTAGGAAAAGGTCACATATTAATGACCAAAATGTTAACTGTGAGACCGGACTTCTTGGGGGTATCCCTGTCACTCAAACCGGGGGTACATGTGGAGAGGGTATCTTTAAGAAAAGAAGGCTCGAAACGCAGCATGTACCCTGTATTGACCTTGTCTCAGATACATTCTCTGAGCCTGGTTTGGTTCGAGATGGGCACACAGACAGAACTTGTGTGTCTCCTCGAATGACGAGGTTGGTGCACAGACAGAACTTGTGTACCTCCTCAACTAATGTTCTCGGTAATGACGAGGTTGTCGGGGCGCAGGTACTCGGACTGAGTCAGAGAACAGAAGTTACCCTTTCTCCTGACGGTCGAGAACGACTTGGACGGAGACGCAATTCTCAAGATTGTGATGTCTTTGGTGATAACGTACTTTCACCTCAGAATCACGAGAATTGCACAATTTTAAATGACGCTGATGGCAGATTGTCGTCTGCATCAGGTCATGGTGCGAGTGAAGGCGTACACGAGGATTACGACTTCACAGATAGCGACGAATTTTCAAGTGATGAAAATTTTACTGATAGCGAAACAACCACGAAAATTTTCGAGGGCGGAAAAAGTTTAAAGACAAATTTATGTAAAGAAAAATTTGTATTAAAAATAAAGGACGAAAACAGCTTTTCTCTTAAATCAGAAAAACTCATTTCGAGACCCCTTTTCAATTGTTTTCCTATTGATGGTGCAGTTCCATCTACAAGCACGGACATTGACGAAAACGGACATAATGACACACAAGACAATTCTCGACCTTCTAGTCCTAATTTTTCATGTGTAAATTTTTCAAAGGATAAATTGTTTATGAGGAATGATAATCTTGTATTATTCATTCCAGCAGACAGAAAACTTACGACAGAAACTGCAAGAGAATTAATTAACGAAAATAAAATTAATGTTGATGATTTAATAAATGAAAAGTCAGAAGATTGTTATGTAGGCAATGTTTTTGCATACAGGTATGAAGAGTTCACTGTTTTTAATTTAGTTATAAAACAAAATTTTGATTCTAAACCGTTCCTTGCTGACGTCACACTGGCTCTTGAAGGTTTAAAAAGGGCTATGGATGAAATTAAAATTACCACAGTTAGTATTTCGCAAATTGGCAACGGTCTTAATCAAGTTGCATGGCCTTCAGTCCAATCAGCAATTCAAAATATCTTCGGTAATAGCGAATATGAAATAACAATTTGCTCAGGCGATATAGAAATACCGCTTGAAACTGAATATAATAATATTATTCGAGAAAATCATTCTTCAACCACAGGTGGACACAAAGGTGTGACCAAAACTCTCCAAAGAATTCGAGATAATTTCTATTGGCCCAATATGCGCGAATCAGTTCGCAAATTCGTACGTGAATGCGAAGATTGCAAATTAAACAAACTTGTTCGAATAAAAACAAAACAACCTATGTCCATAACGGACACCCCTTCGGAAGCATTCGAAAAAATCCAGATTGACATTGTTGGTCCTTTTAAACCACCAACTGAAAGAGGCAACACTTGTATTCTCACAATACAAGATAACCTCACAAAATATTGTGACGCAATCCCTCTACGTCGATCCGATGCCATTAGTGTTGCGAACGCCTTGGCTGAACGATTTATTGCTCGTTTCGGCTGTCCAAAAATAATTCATTCTGATCAAGGGTCAGAATTTAATAATGAAGTCCTGAATCAATTTTGTAAAATTTTCAAAATTAAGAAAATTCGTTCCACTGCATTCCATCCGCAGTCCCTAGGATCTCTAGAAAGGAGCCATCATGTTTTAGTACAATATCTAAAAAATTATTGTCAGAAAACAAATTGGGACAGATGGTTACCTTACGCAATGTTTTCCTATAATACTGCACAACACGAAGCGACAGGTTTCACGCCTCACGAACTCATTTTCGGTAAAAAGGCTCGCATCCCCTCTGAATTTGCAAAACAGGAAGTTCCACTCACTTATCATTTATTTGTCAAAACTTTAGGTGATAAATTATCTGAAACACAAGCTACATGTAAAGAAAAATTACAAGCTGCAAAAGAACGTTCTAAACGATATTATGATCAAAAACTAAATTCACAAACCTACGAAGAAGGAGATTTTGTTTACCTTCTTAAAAATGACAAAACATCAAAATTAGACGCGAATTATGCCGGTCCATTTAAAATCATTCAAGTTTTTGATAATAGTAACGTTGAACTCGAAATGAAAAGAGGTAAAACTAAAGTTGTACATACTAACCTCCTTCGACCACAAACACTCAAATTATTTTGAGATAATGTAAATTATATAAATCTTACCTTTCATAGATTGATATAATAATCAAACAAATACAGTTTTAATTGTTTTTTAAACTCGGAAATAGTTACCAAAAATTTGTTTTCTCATTTTTGTGAATAATATATTGTCAAAATAATTAATTCGTAATTCCTTTTTGGGGAGGGAGTGTGTAAAGAGCAACTTGGACTTGCTCTATTTTTTCTTCCAAACTTTGCACATCTAACTCCTTATAAATTAATTATTATTATATTTCCAATTATTTTTCATAAACAAACAATTTACGTATGTAAACATTGACAAACGTGAACTACATATTCAGTCAGAGATAGACAACTTCATAACCGAACCGCTCAAGCCCGGTTCACAACGAATCAAAAACCTTAAGGCTCATTTGCATAAGCTTTACTGGTTGCGCAATTCGCGGTAATAAATTGCGTAAATTTCTTTTTCTTTAAATATATAAATATATATAAGTAAAATAAATAAATAAATAAATAAAAAAAAATAAATAAATAAAAAAAAAATAAAAAAAAAGAAATAAATAAATAAATAAAAAATAAATAAATAAATAAATAAAAATAAAACAAAAAAAAAATAAAATAAGATAGATATTTTATCACTTTAAGCATAATTATTATTATCATATTTTCGAATAATCAATTATTCTTTTTTATTAAGGGGGAAGGTGTAACGAGCGACTATTATCTCGCTCGAATCGTGATTCGATATTAATCGAAATGCGATTAAAAGTCGCGGGAAAATATAATATTAATTTTATATTTTAAAAAATAATATCCTGTCCATAGATTGAGAAGAACTTTCTGCGTTCGATTTAGTAAATATGTTCCTAAAATATTGTATTCTTCAAATATCTCTCTATCAATAGCCGAAATATAACAAAAGATGAAATACATATGTTTCGCAGACACAGTGTCTTTGAAAATATCGCTACAAAAAATAGTAAGGTTTAAACACATTTCCAGCAATATGAGTTTGTGTATTGTCACTCTGAAGACAATATACCCTTAAAACTCAAACACAATTGTCAACCATAAACTAAGAGAGATAACCCCAAAGATGTCATAAAAAACTGTCTTTCAATTCTCAAGTAGACCCTCTTTGGAGGTAAAACCATAAAACACATCGGTTGACCAACGTACATTTTATCCTTTTTCTCAGGATAAAATCACGTACTGGAAAAACCCAGTTTTCAATACTTTTTAGAAATGTTAATTATTCCACTACTTTTATAAATAATTGTAATTTGCATATTAGATTATTTCTATCAATCTAACATCTAATCAATTATTATAATATAATTGATAATGAATTAAGACTTGTAAATAAACTACATTCAAGCTTTATAGTTAAACAATTAATTTGTTATAACTATCATGACCATTAACTATGTATAATTCTATATAATATTTACTATATTTGTAACACGTATGTGTCATGTACAGGTGTAAATATAATTATTATAAATATAAATATTATTATTAGAATGTATGCATGTGTATATATATATTGAAATAATTATCATGTGATAATTATTGGAATCATAATGTTATGATGAATGTGTATGTATCAACATCGACAAGTATGACGTATGAGTCGGTATTAGTATTAGTGAAGTGCATAAATGTATCTACTATATAGTGGGGATACTACTATACTATACTATACTACTGTATAGTGGGGGATGCGCGTCATTTAGAACATGCGCATTTCCTCCAACATGGACTAACAGCGGAGAACAAGTCCGCTGGACTGTAACTACAGATTAGATTTAAGTTGACTATTGACTAGAAAGGTTGCTTCTAAGCTTCCTTAGTCATAACTTGTATTCTTGAACTTTTAGTAAATAAATATTTGGGTTTACTCTCAAGAAGACTGATTTCCTTCAATAATTAATTTTATTAATTATTGAATGATTTATTCTACTTGTGAGCTTTTTCCCTCCGTTTTAACGGAATATTCACGTTTATTATTTGAAATTTCCCGGTTCCTATCAAGGATTTAACCAAATTCTGAACTCAACGAATCACCGAGCAGTAATCGCGTTTGCGCGAGTAATTTACATTTGTGCTCGTAACAAGTCGGTAAATAATATAGGAATGGCGCGAAAATTTATTAAAATTCTATTTTTAAAGAACGAAAAATTTAGATTTCCAAAAATTTGAATTTAAAACCTTTTCAAAATTTAACTATTTCTAAAAATCCATGCTATAATGCATTTAATATTAAATTATTATCTAAAATTTTAACCGAAGTTCATTTTTAAATCAATTTTTATTAAAAAATTCAACGAGAATTCAATTACATATTTCCAAAAATAAATAATTTATTCAATAATTGAATTTTATAACAATATTTGAAAATAATTGAAAACTTTTTGAAGAATTTTATTAAAAGTTTTAAAAATAATTGAATTCCTAAGAAGAATTTAATTAATAATTTACGAAAATAATTGAATTCATGCGATGAATTTTATTAAATTTTGTTTAAATAAATGAAATTTTGACAAGAAGTTTTTAAAAAATTTTGACAATAATTTATTTCTTGAAAAGAGAATTACGCGATTGTTTTAAATGTATTTTTATTTATAAAAGTACAAAACGACTTATAACTTGAGAAAAATACATTCTTTTCTAGAACAATTTATTGTAACGAAAGTTAATATTATTATTCAAAATTAAGTACTTACAAAATTTTCAAAACCAGTTGAAAATTTTTAACATTTTTTCACATAGTAACGATTTCAACCATTTTTTATTAACATATTTAGATTCTAATGAGTCTTTTCTCAGTTCATAACAAACAATTTTTTTAACAAATATTTTTATAAATAAATTTTCTTACGTGTAGAATATCACCGGCTTTGACAAACTATCTTAACGCTAAATACTGCATTTAAATAGATCCTTTTTTTCTACAAAATATTCAACTTAAATACTACGATTTATATTTTTCAAAAAATGAAAAATTCAGTCAAAATGAAGACATTGTTTAATAATACTAATACTAGTAACTGTTTTTCTTTAACTGATTTAATCATGACAGTAGAAGCTACAATATTTAATAAAGTTAATTTTTATTTAATTCTTATTTTTGTACTTGTTTGCTTTGAAATTTTTAATTTAATATTTTCGTATACTAACTAAATTATAGTTTTTTTTAAATATTCTTTTTAGACTCATTTAAACCTAACAATAAATTATTCAACATGGAATATATTTTTTTTTTGGAATGATTCAGTATTTCTTGTTTAGACTAGGCACTTTTTGGCAGAAAATTAACAACGTGTCCTCGTTGAAATATAAAGTCTCAAAGAATGTCAGAAATAAAAATAAATTTTTTCTGTTCACCTGTTTTAAGCACATGAATCAGGACTTTTAACAATTGTCAGATATAACTCATGAACGAGTTCTTTGAATACGACAGGATTCACGTTCTCGGAAAGTTGATACAATAGAAACCAATCTCCAAAATCAAGTGCTTTCACTACTATTTCAATTTTCTTTCTTTTGAGACTTCGAGTTTGTGCTTGCAATAAATAAATTCTTGCTGATGGTTGCGTGAACATGATGACTCTATATAAGAAACAAAATTTTTCTTTAAGGGCATTTGAACCTTGATGACGTTACACTTTGTGCAAAGCATGTGTGACGTCATCAAGGTTCAAATGCCCTTAAGGAATGAAAAAAATAATGTTTTGGGTAAATTAAAAAAAAATAGATTTCAATTTTGGTTTTAGAAACAAATAAAAAACGGGGTTGTCACAAAAATTTAATTTAATTTTTCCCTGATTTTTCTGGAAAGAATTTAATTTAAAAATTAATAGAATTGAATATTTAAAAGAATAAAATAGAAATTCTGGAAAAAATAATTTAGTAATAAATTTTTACTATTATTTAAAGTTGAATATAACGAAAAATTACCTGTAGATTATGGTGATTGTGCCAAGAAGGCAAAGAAGAATTAACCAAAACCACAAAATGATGAATATCTTTTCATTTATCATATTCAGTGTCAAAATGCAAAATGCATCGTGCTTTTGAATTGAACCTGAGGGACCGTAGGTATTTAGTGTACATTTTCCAGTCAGTGGAAAGAGTTGTTCTAAAGGATCAACCATTGTTTTAGATTCGTATGCCATCGCATATGTCACGCTTGCGGGTCCAAGTAGAGAAAACCGTCCGTTTAGCAACAGGTCAAGAAAATAAATTTGGCTCATCTGCGGAATAAAAAGAAAGGAAAATTTAGATAATGTTTTTTTTCTCCTTTGTACTTTAAATGTAAATTAAATTTTACATAGAAATGAAATTTTAACAGAAATTTACTTGGAAAATACATCAAATCAAAAATTACATTCAAATTATTATGACAATTGAAAAAATTAAATAGAAATGATAAAAAATAATATTATTTAATAATAAGCAAAATTAATTTTTTTAGAAATTAATTTTAACTAGTTTCCCTGAATTCTTAAAATTGTGTCAACTCTAATTTTTTTTAATAACGAAATTGTAAATTACCGAATTCAAAAGATTTAGTATTTCACAAACAAAAAAACGAATGGCGTAGAAATTATTTGAGCTCATCATATGGTCGTTATAGAAATAATTAGTAAGTTGGTTTCGTTTGTCTTCAGTCCAAACCTCCTGCTGTAGAGGAGTTGCAAGATCCTTTGCGAGAAAACTGATAATCTTTCGTTCCCAAATGATCCATAAAGCTCGAGGTGCGTAAAACATAAAAGCTTGTAGCCCGAGGAATAAACAAACCTATATTAGAGAACGTTAAAATTTAAGAATTAAATTAAACTAAACATTAAGTTAAATTTAAAATTAAATTAAATTAAACATTGAATTTAAAATTGAAAAAGCCATTGTTAAAAACTCATTTAAAAAATTAATTTTTGTGTTCAAATTTTATTTCCCTCAAATTTTGAAAGTTCAAATAAATGAAATTAGGCTTTACACTCGATAATTAATTTCCATAAACAATATTCACTTTTTTCCTATCCTGGTAATTACTTGAACTCTAAATTTTTCTAAAATGCAATTATTTTTCTAACTTTTAGTTTGAATTTTATAAAAATACGATTAGGTATATTTAAAAGTAAAAAATAAAAATTCTTCAAAATATAAAATTTATTTTAAGTCAATTTGATAAAATTCAATTATTTAAAAAAATTATAAAACAAAAATATTCAAAATTTTAATAGTTTTTAGGAAAATAATAAATTAATAATTTTCTAAAATAAATATTTAAATATTACAATTTCACAACAATTAAAATTTTCAAAAATTTCAACTTCAAAATCTTTTAAAATTTAATTATTTCTAAAAATTCATAATATAAGGATTATAAGGATTATTATTATTATTATATTCAATTTTAAAATTATAATTGATAAATTGATTTTTTATTTCTTAAAAATGAATTCTTATAAAGAATTTTGTCAAATTTTTTGAAAATATCTGAATTCTTTCGAAGAATTTTAATAAATTTTTAAAGAATGATTGCATTTTTCGAGGAGTTTATTTCAAATTGCATGAAACATATTTTAAATCTTAAGAAGAATTTTATTATTTTTGAAAATAATATTTGAATAATTAAATTCTAAGAAACAAATTTTATCAAAATTATTAAAAATAATTGATTTCTTACCGAGAATTTAATAAGAAATTTTTTAAATAATTGGGTTATTTCGAAGAATTTTAATAAAATTTTTTAAATTTACATTCTTCAAGGAACTCAATTAAAATTGTATTAATATTAAAATTGAAATTCTGCAATGAGTTTTATTATTTATAAAAATAATTGAATTTCCTGTGAAATTTTGATTATTTATTAAAATAATTAAATGTTTGCATAGAATTTTATTAATTTTTTTTCAAATAATTGAATTTTTTAGAAAAATTTTATTAAAACAGTAGATATTGAAAAGCATTGAATTCAGAAAAAATTTTGAAAACAAATTAATTTTTTATTAATATTGTTGAAAATAATTAAATTTTTTATTAAAAATTTTGAAAATAATTGAATTCTTCTGAGGAATTTAATTAAAATTGTATTAGAAATAATTGAATTTCTTATTACAAATTTTTAAAATAATTGATTTTTTTTTAGGAATATTGAATTATGTCGAGAGTTTTTATTAAAATAGAAAATATTGATAATAATTAAATTATTTTGAAGAATTTTATAACAATTTAAAAAATTAATTGAATTCTATTATTTATGAAAATAGTTAAATTCTTTTAAAGAATTTAATAAAAATTATATTGAAAGTAATTAAATTCTTGTAATCAAATTTTTTGAAAATAATTAATATCTTTGAAGTAATTTTATTAAAATATTTTTCCTATTTTATATTATATTTTTGTGAAGAATTTTAAAGAATTTTTAAAATTGTTTCTACAATAAACAAAATTTCTTTTATTTAAATAACCGATTACTTTATCAAATAAATATTTACTTGAATCAAATAAATATTTATTTGAATCAAATAATTTTTATTTGATTCAGTTAAATGATATTTGCTTCAAATACTGAAATTATTGATTTAAATACAATTTATTTGACTTATATCAAGTTTATTTGATTCAAGTAAATATTTATTTGATAATAGACAAGTAATCGGTCATTTGAATCAAATAAAGTTTTTTTCATTGTATGAATTTGATTAAAATTTTTGAGAAGATTTTTTTTTAACTAATAGTGGATTTAAAGTTATACGAATTCTCAAAAAAAGAAAAAAGGAGCTTTTATTATAACAAATATTTAAAAAAAAAAGTATCCAAATAGTAGTAAATCGTAAAAAAGTAGTAAATAGTAAATTTTTGTAAAAGTGTGCGAAGCCTGCATAATATATTTTTTTTTGTCTAAATATTTTAAAAAATGACTATACTGAAATGAAGAATAATATAAATTAATTATTTAGTCACTTAATTAAAAATTAATTTTTAAAACTATAAAAAAAAATAAATTTTAATTTTTATCGAAAAGTTTATTTTTACAAACCCATTTATAATATTCTTGATCGATCAAATCGGATTGATTTTCGGATGGTCGCATTCCCAAACCAACGTTATCTACTCCCAGAATTCCTGATGTTTTCTCATCGACTATACTTGTGCTCGTAACCCAACAGAATGAATTAAACGCATCTAAAGCTATTAAAAGAGAGAAAAAATATTCAATTTTAATCATAATTAATTTAAAATTTAAAAATAATAAAAAAATGAACGAAAATAAATCTGAAAATGAATTATTTTGACGTTAAAAGGATTTTCATATACATATATACAGTCTCTATTAGATTAGAATGATCATTTGTCTTGATACTTGGGAGATACTGTAAAACTATCTTTAAGAAAATGAACTTAGCCGAGCTTAACGGCTTCCTTTAATATTGAACTTCTGTTAGAAAAGGTTGAACGAGTTGAGTCGTGAGGAGTAAGCCGATAACTTTTAATAGCTTCGAGTAATCTTCCTCCGTCTTTTCCAGGGTTGGAAAATTTGTTCTGATGCTGTTCCTTTTCGAACACACGCGGGATGTTGATTATTTTATGCCCTGCTTTTTCTCCATTGAAAAGTTTATAACGCTCTTATCGGTCAAAATGGCTCAGGTGAAAGGAGCAACTTTTCTTAGGAAATTTTTTCTTTTCTTATATACGAAACGAAAGAATTTTCTTTTCTTATCAATAATTTGTCAATTAAACAAATTATTGGGTAATTTTCTTAGAAATATTGGATTTATAAAAGCGAAAGAAATAGTTTTTTTTAAAAAAAAGAAGTAGAGAATTTCTTTTTTCTTTTCATTAAGTGTTATTATTTTTTTGTATTAGAGGAGAAATGAAAACAAATCCTTTAGAAAATTCGAAGACACTTTAGAGAAATTCTGAAGATACACATTCAACCTTTGTCTGTGTTCAAGTACCTGGACATTGGTGCTTGAGGCAGAGTCGTGGCTTTTAGTCACTTTGTACCCAGGACAAGCGACTCGAGTCTGAGAGATGACACTTTTGAATTGCAAACGCTCAAGGATATTTTTCCAAGCGTGTTTTTTCCTTTTTTTCATCCTATAAACTCTCAACGACTAAAGAACAGTATGAGGAGAGATTTTCTTTTTTTAATTAACACTTTAGAAGAAATTGCAAAAAAAAGAGAGAGAGAGAGAGAGAGAGGCCTGACATGAAAGGAAAAAAAACTTAAGCAAGAAGAAGGCCATTTTCGATTATCGGAAAACGTTTAGTTTCGTTCGTGGAACGATTTGAAATATAATTTTGGGGGCAGGGCCGCCGGGCAGAAATATTACGTAGATCGCAGTTCGCGTCAAGAAATCGCAGCAGGGAAAACGAATTTAATCGAGCGGAAGTGAGCTTTTGCGAGAAGAACGAGAAAGACCTAATGACTCTTTATTCCAAAGAAATGAGTCTCTATATAACATCACTGCTCATTAGCTCGGAATAAGAAAAAAAAATTCAATATTACTGCGCAGACAAAAAATTAATAAGATCAATAGATAAAGATTTGGCGAAAGAAAATTTACGCAGTAGTCTAAGATTGTGTCCAGTCCTCTGGAAAATAAATCCTTCAGGGTTGCCACAAAAATTTGATTTTATTTTTACCTAATTTTCAGACAGAATTTTGACTCTTTCCCCTCTTTTTCCAATGAATATTTTAATTCACTGTAAAAATAATCAGATAACAAAAAAATATTTACTACCTACATTTATTTTTGAATATTCTTAATTGTAAAATTATTCGGAACATCGACAGTTTTTTTAAATATAAATATTTAATAATTATTATTATTTTTCCATAGAAATTAAGATTTTACAAAATTTTAAATTAAAATCCTTTGAAATTCAGTAATTTGTAAGAATCGCTACTATTACTTTTCCCAAAATTATTTTCAAGATTTTGATTCAATTATTTTTCTAGAATTTTTAGCCAAAATTCTTCTCTAATTCACTTATTTTCTCAAATTTGTTTAAAAAGTTTTAATCTAATATTAATTTAAACATTCTAAAATATAAAAATAATTACTTATTACTTTCTACTAATTTAAATTTAGAAAATATGTTTTCTGATAATATTATTGCAGAAAAAAATTTAGAAATTAATTTATTTTGCGCAATTTTGCTTTAATTTGTGAAATTTTTTCTATTTTAAAAGATAACATTTTTGATAACTTTTTATATTACTTTTTGTAATTTTTATTAAAATTCTTGAAAACAATTGTTTTTAAATAATTGAATTCTTCTGAGAAATTTTATTAAAAATATATTGAAAATAATTGAATTCCTGAAAAGAATTTTATTATTTATCAAAAGAATTGCTAATTAATTAAAATTTGTACTCAATGCTCATGAAGAATTTAATCAAAATTTTTCAAATTAATTGAATTTTTGCTAAAAATTTGATTATTCAGAAAAAGAATTAAATTTTTCCAAAGTTTTTAATTAAATTTTTTGTTTATAAAGAATTTTATTGACATTTTTTAAAGTAATAAAATTTTTTCGAAGAATTGTATTAAAATTCTTTATAATAATTAAATTCTTCCGAAGAATTTGATTAAATATGAACATAATTCCATTGTCACAAATTATTTTATCAAAATTCTTTAAAAGTAATTGAATTTCTGCTAAGAATTTTATTAAAATTCTTTAAAATTACTAAATTCCTGCGAAAAGTTTTATAAATTATGAAAATAATTCAATTTCTGCTAAGAATTTTATTAAAATTCTTTAAAATTACTAAATTCCTGCGAAAAGTTTTATAAATTATGAAAATAATTCAATTTCTGATAAGAATTTAAGGAAAATATTCAAAAATAATTGAATTTTTTCGACAGCAGCAACTTTTATAAAATTCAATTTTTTAAAAATTTGTATATAAAATTATTCGCAAAAATAATTTATAAATAATAATTTTTCGATAAGTTTTCAAGAATCAAATTATTTTAAATAAATTCAATTTCAAATCAGTAAAGTTCAATTATTGTTAGAAATAGAAAGAATGCTGGACAATAACATTCAGAATTTTTTTTATGAATAATTCTGGAAATTGAATATTTTTCCAGTACTTTTGATAAAATTTCCTGACTTTTCTCTCACAAATTTTACATTCCCTGATTTTTCCCTGACTTGTGACAACCCTGTCCTTTAATATCAAGTCGGAGATGAATTGAAAATGAATTTTCTAAAACAAAACACATTTTAATATTGCATTCATACGTCCTAAAAAATTTACTAACTTATAAATGTAAATTAAAATATTAAAATAAGTATAAGTTAAAATAAAAATAATATAGTAATAATAAAATACTTATAAATTAATTTACATATAGAAGCAAGTGGTTGGTTAAGATTGTTAAGAATCTTAAGAATCGAAAAGTAAGGTTATGTTTATAAACAATTTTTGTTTACTTACGTATTGGCGATTCGCTGGTTCGAAAACAGTTAATCGGGTTGCCAAAGTAGGTTTTAAATATTAGAAGTCCAGAGCAAATCGTCAGAAATAAAACTGTGACTCGTGTATAAAGTCTAAAGACCAGGTTGTCGATGCAAACGGTATCGTTGATCAGAAGACCCCTAATTTGATTGAATAATTCCAGCATTTTTTCTTTCTTTTATTCCTCTTATTTTATACCTTTTTTTTAATCTTTGATCCAAGCTTTTGTCAAAACAATAATCTACATTATTCTACACTTCTCAAAATAAAAAGAAACGCCAGTTTAACTGCGTAAATCACGTGACAGTTTTCGAAGAGGAAAGAAAGCTTTTTCTTGTGCTGCCACAATTTCCGGTTAATGATGCAAGGTTGGGCAGGTGATTACACCGACTAGTGCCAGTAGTTTTTTAAAACTATTTTTTACCCACATATATTTTGATGGAAAGTGTCAAGTGTAAACAATAAAGTATTATTAATTATCAATTATTAATTATAATACTTTATCTTATATGTAAAATATTGTATTTTACTAACGCATTAAAAGATTTAAACTACCCGTAACTACTCAACCCTGTTCTCAAGATATCGGAAGTTGTTTACTGCCATCTATTTTTGCAGATTGAAAGTTAAAAGCAATTGTCTAGGTCGTTTCTTTTCATAAACATAAACAATGCATTTGAGTTTTGAATCATTAATTTATGCTTCAGATTATGTACTTGTTAATTAAAGTGTAATTATTATAATTATGCTTTTTGTAAAATATGTGATTTCATGGTGCTTTACAAATTATGTATAGTCATACAGTCATCAAAGGAAGTACTGTATCTGCAAGTTCTGAAATCTTGCTGGGTTTAAAGTTCATTCAACTGATTCAAGTAGAGAAGCGGAAGCTATATTACTGCTTGGATTTAATGGTAATCATCCAGATTTCTGACGCAATAATAACTTGACTTAAAGGACCACTTATTAATAATTGCTCTTTGAAACTTGTGAGCTCAACGAAATTTGCGTCTGATGGCAAATTTTTGCACGTTTTACACGTTTTACACAAATGTAATTTTCACAGAAAGTGAGGTTATGTTTGTCATTTTGTTTATTTGAAATTTTCAACTGGTAAGAGGCACTTTTTTTTTATTTATTCTAAAATAATTCTTTATTATTACTGATATGTTACTAACTGGAACTATTGTTACTTATTACTATTATTATAATTATAATTAATATTAATAAAAGCATAAGTATTAAGATCAAAAATTGAGAAACAGATAAATTGTTTTATTGCAGAGATTTTCGGGTCAAAATTTGCAAATTGCTATTTTTACTCCGAATTGATAAATATTTAAATAAAAAAAGTATTTTATAATTATTAATCAATCAATTAATTAATTAATTGTATTATTAATATATATTGTTTATATCATTATAATAATAGTAATTACATTTATAATTTATTATTAAAACCATTAGTATTAGAAAAATGATATTAATAGTTATAGTAAATGAAAAAATTTAATTTTTCAGTACTTGTAGCAGTAATATTGAAAAATTTATTCTTGTCTAGTAGCGAAAAGCCGTTTTTGTCAGACAAAGAACGTCTGACCGAGAAATTGTTTTATCTACTTGGGTATATTCACTGTATAGCTTGATTCTTCTCTGTTCTTCTCACGTACTTGTTTCGATTATGTTAAACAGATAAGTGATCTTATTATAAAATTGACACTTTAACAGTACAGTTAACTTTTCAAATTATCTGCGTAAAAGTTTCATTTTTCATAAGAAAATATATTTTTATAATTTTCATTTTTTTATGGTAAATTATATAAATTTTAAAAATAAATGTATATAATTATATTTATTAATTTTCATAAATACTTATTATTTATTTCAATTTATTAATATATTTATTTATGTTCCTTAATATTTATTAACATTTTTATTAATAATCGTATTCTGATAATTTGTTCGCAATTTGAAGTTAGTTGTTTTCGTTTGATTTTGTTTCCTAATTTCTTTGGTAATTTTTCTTTAGAATTTTTTTTTGGAATTTTAAAATTAATGAAATTCTAATTTAATGTTTTGAAGATTTAAAAATATCAAAAATTAATTCAACCAAATTGTTTTCAATTAAAAATATTATACTTTTATAATTTTGAATCTGAAATAATTGAATTCTTATAAACAAATAATTGAATTTCTGCGAAGAATTTAAAAAAAAAGAATTTTTAAATTAATGCAAAGAATTGTATTGAAATTATTTATAATAATTAAATTCCTGCGAAGAATTTGATTAATTATGAAATTTATTCAATTTTCATAAAAAATTTTCATAGTAATTGAATTTTTGTAAAAAATTTTTTTATTTAGGATTTTTATTGAAATTTTATTGAAATTCTTTGAAATAATTAAATTCCTACGAAAAATTTAATTAATTATAAAAATTGTTCAATTTTCATAAAAAATTTTCAAAGTAATGGAACTTCTGTGAAGAATTTTATTATTTAGGAAAAGAATTAAATTTTTTCAAAGTATTTAATTAAATTTTTTAGAATGAATTTTATTGATATTCTTCAAAATAATACAATTTTCGCGAAGAATTTTATTGAAATTCTTTAAAATAATTATTAAGTTCCTACGAAGAATTTGATTAATTATTAAGATAATTCAATTTACATAAATAATTTTATCAATATTTTTCAAAGTAATTGAATTTCTGCGAAGAATTTGATTAAAATTTTCAAAATAATTGAATTTTGTCGACGAATTTAATTATTAAAATTGTATTAAAAATATTTCAATTCTCCTAAAGAATTTAATCAAAATAATTGAATTCTTTTGATAAATTTTATTGAAAATAATTGAATTTTTACGAAAAATGTTATTAAAGTTTTTCAAAATAATAAATAATTATAATTTATTAGTAAGTTAGTTAATAATTATTAAAGTTTTCTAAATTTTGAGTCTGAAATTATTTTAAAATTGAAATCCATATTTGAAAATAAAAAATTTGTTTAATTTGTGTAGTAGTTATTAATAATAAATTAATAAATACTGCGTATCACGCGTAATATTTGCTGGTTTATTAATATTTGTTAAAATTTATTTATTTTGCTTTTATTCATATTTATAAATTTGTATTTACATATTACTTTATTAACATATTTATAGAAATATTTTCCATGAAAAATGAAACGAAAATTGCATTGTATTGTAGAAAATATATAATTTAAAAATTCCAATTCGTATTCTTTCATCTTTTGGGGGGAGTGGTTGCTATAGCGTTAAATTGGACTCTGTAGAGAAAATATATATACAAGGAAAAAAAAAGTTAATGCTTTAATTTGCAACTTAAAAGAAATTGCTGGCAAGCAGGCAATGCTTCGGATTTATAAGAGCATTTGAAACAAAGGAGATCAAAAGCTTAGTTCCCTTGTGGATAACCATTTCTATTAATTCTCATTTTAAAGTTCATTAAAAGAATGTAAGATGATAAAAACGACTAATCATTTCCGTAATTGAATTTCCTCGTAGATTTATTTTTTTTCGTAAATTAATCGACTGTGCATTTTAGTTCACACTATTAATTTCAATTAACTTCTCTCTAATTTTATTTTTTTCTTTATTTTCAATTTTTTTTATGAATTCCATTACTCTTAAAATTTTTATGATTAACAATTTTCTTCGCTTTTCTTCACCGAAAGGGAACTTTTAATTTAAAAAATTGGTTTTTATTAATTTAAGAAATTATTTTTGTTAAGTTAAAAAATTATTTGTACTCAGAAAATTATTTTGGTTTAGAAAATCATTTTTATTTCGAATATTATTTTTATTAAATTAAAAATTATTTCTATTTAGAGAAATATTAATTTTTATTTAGAAAATTGTTTTCAGTTGGAAAATTAATTTTATTTAGAAAATTATTTTTACTTAAAAATGAATTTTTATCAAATTTTATTATTCGGGGAATTTTAATAATAAAATTCTATAGGAAAATTTGTCTTCACTGACGAGCATAGTCTTTATTAGTAAAAATATAATGATCATCATTACAATTATTATAAATACAAGGTAATCAAATACCAGTGTGTACAATTTCTTCGATGTAGTTGTATATTTAATATTGTGAAGTTTATAATATCTGTGTACAATTACCTTGTGTTTTTTTTATGTCGGTTTTCTTTTTATATGATTGCTAACAGTTTTGCTACATTCTAATTAAACACGAACTATGTACAAATCATGATACAAGTGAGAATTATTTTCTTTTTTACTCCAGAAAAAATTGTACCAACGATCTGTGAATCGTTTTCTTCTTTCGTTAAATTTTAATGTACATAATATATTTTTTTTTGTCGCAAAAATCAAAATATTGTATAATAATTATATTACGCAGTAACTGATTTAATTTGCATTAACAAATTTAATTATTATTAACTAATTTATTTGTAAATTAGTTTTTTTGATTTGATTGTAAATAATTGGAAATTAATTTCTATACAAATTTAATTATTAACTAATTTATTTGTAAATTAGTTCTTTGATTTGATGGTAATAGGAATTAATTTTTATACAAATAAATTAATTTTCGAAATATATTTGTATTAAATGATTTTAGAAATTTATTTGTATTAATTTTTAAACGTTAAAAATACTTGTCAAATATTTTTGAACAAATTTTGTTTTATACATAATTTTTTGAACAAAATTTGTTTTGTACATTGATTTTGAAACAAATTTGTTTGTTTAAAAAAAATTTGTATCGGATGTACATATAGGAAATTAAATTTTTAACGATTTTTAATAAACTATAAATTATTTTTTAGATGCTTTAACGTTTATATACAAAATTATTATATATTATATTTTTCCTTTGTTAATGACGCTTTTTTAAATTTAAATTATTTGAGTTTATATAGTAAAGTTATTTAATTAACATTTAAAACTTATTGAAAAACTACGGCAAATGTTTCGTAATTTTTTTTTCTGCACATTTCTCTTTTGTAAAACATCAACGAGTTTAATGTTTTCATTGGCGTCGCTGTTGCATAGTTATATATTCTTTCTATCCGCCTCTCATTTTAATGAAACTACTGCTTTCCAGACTCGAATTTACTATACATAGTCAGGAAACTGGTTTGTCGGAAATACATATTCATAAAGCAAATCTTTGCAGCATATAAAAAATTCGATTACTTTGTTCTCATGTCATTTTGCCTCCTCGTATTTTCTTTCTTTTGCAATAATCCACGAATTTAGGATTTAAAATTAAAAATTCTCATTTTTTTCATCTTTTTTTTGTTCTACAAAATTATGTTTATTATATAAGGGAAAATTAA